TTTTTTTTTTGTATTTTAAAAATACAATTATGGCCGTCTCGTGACAAACCATTCTCGCCTTGATGCATACTTCGTCGCATTTTCTAAGGTACTGGGCTCTCAAGGAACTCCGCTCTTTCGATGAATCTTCAAAACAGCTCGTCAAAATTTACTTCTTTAAAAAGCACTATTACCAGGGTAACGATCATGGCAACCACTTTGACATTATTCGCTTTTCGTCTTTTCGCACATGGACACTTCCCTCTTTGTCTGTAGAAGTTCAACTAATCCCTCACGAGGCGGCAAATGTCGCCCAGCAGGGCCTCTTTCTCATCGTATTATTATTATTATTCGTCTCTTATTCTTTCCCTTGGATCAATGAAATAAGCGCAAATAAACGGCCACCTGTGAGCTCACTGCTGGCGGCGATGCAAGTGGAAATAAGGCATATGAAGATGAGGAGCGGAGGAATTAATTTTTATTGTATTTCAATTTGAATTAACCACGCATTTAAATTGCTTATTGACCGTCATAACATGCCATCGCATTGCGTGACTGCATGGTCCTATCCAACAAACGAAAACCGCATACAGTGGTCACTGAGGACTCAGCATTAGTACTTACATTTCACTCTTAACCCTTCGTGCCTAACCTCGCTTTCCGACCGTGCCTCGAACGGAAATATTCGCTTGTCGCGAATAAAGTTTTAACAGACTTGTGACGCGCTGCACGTACCAACGGTAAATCAGCAGGATCGAGTTGCTCTGCATTTGAACGATTCATTCAACTGGAAGAATAGCCAAGCGTAATTCTTCTTCTCCCCGGCTTTGCTACAGGCAAGGCAAAAAGAAGGGAGATTGAACTCGGCTTCGCACTAGCAATGCCTAATGTGCTGACATGGAGGTTGATAAGATTAAAAACTTGACTCCTCAACCCTTACACTCCCACGAGAAACGAAGACAATAATCTCCTCACAATACAATATTAAGGAGACAAGTGCTGAGAATAAAGAAAAATATCAATGAGGGGATTGTTGGCTGATCAAATATCAAATTCTCCAAACCAAAATAGCAATGACTGTATGGCAGAAGGTAAGGAGAATTACGGAGGCCTTTTTGTGACTGAAAGGGTTAAATCACCTAGCTGGATTAAGGTCAAATTCCATGTCGCTGACCAATAGCAAGTTACTCATTAACTCGCATAACAGACTATGCCGGGAAATAGAGAATGCTTGTTGTCCACGGGTAATTGTAAAAGAATCCTTGAGTCAAAAGCTTAGATGACATGTAAGCAACAGTCATAAGTTCACGAGGCAGAATGAAAACCTTCTTTGTCAGTAAAATGGTCTTTGACTTTTCGAACGTTGTTATTGTCTGTCTAGACTCTTACTGGGGGTCACCTTACAGGACCCCAAATGTGATTTTAAAGTATATGTTTGCGCTTAGTATCGCTGTAAATCCTCGTAAATGACGCAAATCGTTGAACATTTCAGCAAAATATGTTAAGGTGAAATTTTGCAAAATTTGTTTCTTCTTCCTCGTTACACTCAGTATACTCGAGGAAGGTAGGGACGGATTGAACTACAACATCTGAGCCTCTCAGCAAACTGGCCAACTGTTTTACAAAAAACCTAGATACTTTTGTTTTTGAAAATTTTTGTTCTCCAAAATTTGGGTGTTTTCCAAATACCCGAGGAAAATAGGGACGAGTTGAGCTCCTGCCTCGGAGGTTTTCATTGAACTGATGAACTATTTGGCACAAAAAGCCAATTAATATAATTTCTAAAAAATTTCTTTCTCTTGCCTGTGGATAAAACGCCATCTGTACAGGTTTTTCGTCTCGACTTTCATTTCGTGATGACCAAAACTTGTCGAGTGTTAAAAATAGCGGGTTTGTTTTCCTTGACGGGAGCACAGTCTCCAAGGAAGCTTTACTTGCTGAGGAACTTCCACGCTCTTTGTTTTTTCTGATTGTAAAGTAAATAAACTCACAAAGATTTGAGTAATTCCCGGTTAATCCTGCTCTCCGTTTGACCTTCGGCTCAACTAAGGTTTTCCAGCGTCGCCTGTCAGGAACACACTGTGGAGTTTTGCCCAGTGCCATCATATATGTTGATTCAAGGCCTACCCGGCCCGCTTAGAGGTGAGTTTGGTGAATGTTTCTGTTCATCTTCAACATGTTTCGGAACATAACGAGAGAAACACAAATAGGGAGAAATCACATGGCTACGCCGCTCTCCAAAATGCTATATAAGAGGATTATTTATTTATTGCCTTTTTTTTTTCTTTCCTACGCTCAAGAACTTAAGTAGAGTTTTGCGTGAGGTCGGTGTACAATAGTCCACTAGAAAGCTACACTTAAGCCGGTCCTCCTTAATTTGTTTTCCTTGTTGCCCTCGTCTGATTTGTTTTTCGTTTTTGAAATCTGGCTCACATGTTGAGAGGTTTCACGAGATTCTACCATTCGTTTTTCATGAGTGTTAGGCGACTCAGTTTTTTTGTTTCAATATAAGAGAGCGACTCCTTGACAAGTTAGGTGCATGTAAATTCTTGTCAATCACAGAATTTTGATCTAATAAACAAGAGCTCCATAAATGATGATTGATACCGGAAATTAGGTCCCACACCACGCTGCGAATCTCAAGACTTCACGAAAGAGTCACGACAAAAACACATCCTGATTGGCTCGCTTTATTATCCGCGCCCGTTGTCGTCACGGTTGCAAAATATTGTTTTCTTGCTTCGAAAAAAAATTCACGAAAGAGTCTTAGCGGCGTTTGATGGCCTTTCTGAGTCTTGTTGGGCATATGTGAAGGCATAAAATGAAGCAGCTGTTCTATTTTGGGCTTTTGGTGTTTTTTTCTTCCTCAGAGTGGCATTTTGTAGGTAAGTGCAATAGAGTTGGAAAGTAAGGCTTTGATCGAACCAGTTTCTAACCTGACTTAATTTAGATCAGTTGTGATTGCCTAAGCAATAAAAAGTTAACTTGTGTATTGATCAGCAGCGATTGATTAGTTAAACATATCACGACTGATTCTCAAAAATGAAATAGCGACTAAGGTTTGCAATGCGTGTCTCCTTAGACGTTGTGGAAACAAGCCGGCCGGCAAGGGAAGGCTTTTTTCTCCATAAAGTTGTTCTAGACTTAAACAGATTTCTTTCATTTCAAAAACAACTGTTTGTTTTTTTTGCTTTGCTACAATTAACACATAAGAATAGAGAGGTAAAGGTAAATATTTATTTGGCAAACAGCTATCCTTTTATGTGCGTGTAGCTAGCCCTGTTTTCTTCTCATGTCCAGTTGCGATCGTAAGGTACACTGATCACGCGAGCAAATGATAAAGTGGATCTCACCTGTGTCATAGGAAGTTCACTTCCTCGGAGATCGCTTTAGATTTTTATCTTGGCCAATTCTTACAGAATTTTGATTTAAAAAATTGACCCAAGACGTATCTAAATTATCTAGGCAAACATTCCAACCTGCTGGTTTCTGTGACCACTTTTCGACGCATCTTGGTTTTTCTTTTGCTCTCTCAACAAAGAAGGGACAGGAGGAAAATTTGGGATTTTTTTTCTTGTTCATATCTTTCGGAAAAATCAGACCAATGATAGCGCAATTGTTTTATTTCTTGTTAATCGCATTAAATGCTGCTGATAATCTCTCTACCAATTAGCAGTCTAGAGACTCTTTACGCTATCTGTTTAAAAACAATTTTTCAGTGTGACTTTGATCGTAAGATTTCACCTGTGCTTTTGAAATATCGTAAAATTGAGTTTCATAGGCGAAATTGAAACAGTGTGCTAGTACCATTTCTTCCTCTGTATTTTTTTTTAAAAAGAAACTGCAGTCAAATTGCCTTACCAGACACGTTTGTTACTTTAATGGTCTATAATGTTTGGTATTTCCTGCTGAAAAGCCTGAGGTTGTCTCAATAGATTTGACCGGGCAGAGTTCTACTTGCTCTTTTGCTCCGGTGTGAATTCTATGTTAGCTTCTTTATGCGTCTGGCTCGGAGAATCTTAGAAATACAAGTGTTTTTTAAGTATGGTGCTGGCGAAACCCACTCTTACTCTCGTCCTTTCTCGTTGGTGAAGACATCATCTTGCCTCACGGCAACGCTCGTACCGATTTAATTACTATGAAATGCTCTTTCATTTAAATCATCGAATACGAAAGGCGTTTCTTACACCTTGGCACTGACTCTATTAAAATCACTTGAGATGTGGGATTTGTCTAAATTTTGGCATATCTTTTAAAGAACTCTTCCATATGTCAAACAGCTAGGCACTTTGGAGAAGAAAAGGAATCTTCAAGTGAAAACGCAGAATGGAAAAGTGAGGCATGCATTTTTGAAAACGTTCGGACAGTAGCTGATTTATGAGTTGCACCATAGTTTTTAATGAAATTTACGCTAGTGATGCTGATAGGGTCCAAAAGTCCACTGTAGTAATCAGTTTAATATTACTATTACGTCATATTTAAACGCCTTTAAAAGATAAATCTGTGGATCTTTCCTATTTACCCAGCTTTATGACTATTTCTTCCGAAACTGCTTTGGAAACAATTCAAAGCCGACCACATGCAACATTTTGTTTGGTAGTGAGAGAACTCCAGGACTGAGACAAAAAAAAAAGACAATGAATAGTTCATTTGATTCCTTCCTGATGCGATTTACAGACTTGTGATGATAGCTTGTCTAGCCAGTGATTATTTCAGTCATTATATACTCTTTGAAATGAAATATTCGTAAATCGAGCTGCGTCTAAAAGGTGGGAGATGGTCGTTGAGTAGTGAATTTATTATATGGTCTAAACTCCTAGTATGGTAACAATAAAAATTATAGTTCTCCTGTATTTTGGCTCTTAATTGCATCATTTTCTTGTAGCATCTTTTTATGCGCAGTTCTGCAAAAACGATTCCTGTAAACGTCTTCAAATAAATGTCATTACGTAACACATAAGAAAGCATTTCTTGCTATGTTACTCAGATCATACTTATTTTACACATGTGAGTCAGGTCATCTATGAATCACCTTGAGCTCAAGTTTCGAAAGTACTTGACTTTTTCATAGTCAGCAAGAAGAAGGCAGATGTGTGAATGATTAATCATTTTGGAGTCTAAAACCCGCACTAGTTGATATCAGAACACATCACTCACTATTGTTGCAATTTTTTTTGTCGTTTACTTGCAAAATTGTTATAACAAGATTTTTTCAGCTCTGAAATGCATCAATCCAAACGTGTGCGGATAATTTATCACGGAACACATAACAATAAGCTTTTCTTGAAATCAGGGTGTTTGTCTAATCTGGGAATACATTTCAAGGCGTAAGTTTGTGTTTCCACAACTATTTGACTTTAGCTTAAGTTTTCAACGCTGTAACTACTAACTAGTAGATTTTAAGCAAGAAGCAAGTCATTTAGCTTGCTGGTTGGGTAGACGTCTTTGAAAGCATTTTTTTCATGATTATTTTAGCCGGTGAGAAACCAAAAACAGTGTATTGAGACTAGATGAAATGAGTGCCAATTCTTCAAAAGGATTTGAGTCACATCACATGGTGAGGGGAATAAAAAAATACTTCCATCATTTTTCAGCCGATGTTACTAAATTTTGTTTTCATCAAAATATAGGATCGATAAAGATTCAAATTCTTGGCCTATGATGCAAGTCGATCTCCACGTGTTCTTCGGAATTATTTTTATTTGTTCGTTATTGCTTTCTTAACCTACAATTCAATAAAAGGCGATAGGAAGTATTTTATTAAAACTCATCACGCGATTCTCGCGATAGATGCATTTTTGAAAAGCAGCATCATAAATGTTATACACTTCAATATTTGCAACACGCAAGTGTATTAGGAATGATTTTTGTTTTGAAGTAAAAAATAGATCACTTTTAGATTGAAATTAACTCTTGCGTGCCGCGAAACCTTGTAATGATTGTTTTGCATCATGTAATACCTCCTGTGTTTTGCAACTAAAGATACTTTATAAACCGATTCCTACCCATGAACAGGTTTACAATCGTCTGGAGTGGAAATCAGGATTTGTGAAAGATGGATCAAAGTGTCGTGCGACTCACATGAGGTCTCACGGATACAACCATCAAAGGAATAAGCTCCTTTGTCATCTTATCTATGTCCAATCTATATTACTATAGGTTTCAGATCTTTTTAGCATTTAAATAATTGTCAATTAAAATTGTCTATGCCTCTCAAGTCGATGCATTCAGAAAGTAAAGATGGCCATTATTCGATCCTTGAAGAGCATTTGGCTCGGATTTTCCAACCATCCCTGCTCTTAAAGGTTGTTTTAACGTACCGGACGGACCAGCTTTCAGTTAGCTTGTTACTAGAGTCAGTTGCTAGAGCACTGCACCGGTATCGGATAATTCGTTGGTCCGAATCCTATAAAGGCCTTAATTTTTCTCAGGGCTTATTTTCACTACTGCTTGAGTAGTGTTCATTACTGCTAAGATCGCTTTCAATTTCATTTCTTAAACTGCAGTTCACATATATATAATTTTCATATTTTCGCAGTCAATGCACCATTAGTTTGGTGTTACAAATGCATCTGATGAGATGCTCTTAGTTCTTACACGCTAAGTCCATTCATCCAAATTTATACTTGGCAAACTTCCTGATCAGACATTCTTTTTATGAAGAGCTCCTCCACTGATTCACCTAATCTAGCCGTTGCATGATCGTATATTCGTGTCTCGGTTGATAAGGGCATAGCGTGATATATTAGAGATCTCACTATCATGTCAGTGTTGTTTTTCATGAGCATACGAAAATTATCATGTATGACCCGTTCGGCCCCACGCGTGCAATATCATAAGAAACCATGGTGGAAGCAGACATGCAGGGCCGGACGGGTCGACTTGAGCTGGTCCGGAAAAAGTCTTGCAGCCCTGCACTCATACGGCTTTGCTGCAAATACTTAAAGGAAAAACTGTGCTCGGTCTGTTATTCATGACCTCGAGCCAAATATAATCTCTTCCGGCCCTCTCTTCCAGTGAATAAGTAAACATATTATGCATGCGTTACGTACACCTTACTTTATAAGGGGGAGAAGGAGTAGGAATGTTTTTGAACGCTTACCAATACATAAAAAACAACAGCAGGGGGGAAGCTCTTTGCAAGTCTGATAACCTATTTAGACAGCACAGAATGATCTAGGAGAGAAGGACGCGAATGTTTAAGAGGGGTCACATAGGACATGGGAAGAGATACTTATCAGGTTCCTTCAGTTTCTCTCGCAGGTAAACTACTTGATATGCAGGCTAATTAATGGGCATAAAGTCACTTTCTTGTAATTTATTATGTTAAGGCTGCGAAATATTCCAAGATTTGCTTGAATCAGCATTATGCGAGTTTGATTGTAACTAATATCGTTAAAACAACTGATTTCCTGCATCTTTATCTTATCTCGTCAGACTGTAAGCCAGCCTTCACCAAGACACCTAGCAGCAATGGCAAAGTCTATGTGGATAAAGGCACCAACCCATTTGATTTATCGTGGGACTTCAACACAGACGGAGAAATAGTCACTTGGGTGGATCTGATGTACAAAAAGCGTGGTTCTCCAGACGTATTAATCGCCAGAAAAATTGGAAACCGACTCCAAGTCCCGAAAACCAGTAATTATTATGGAAGAGTTACCGCTGGAAGCGGAAAAGCCACCTTTGTACTATGGTACATCGCTGAAAGCGACGAAAGGACATTTGAATGCAAGGTTTACTTCTCATCAGTATCCAACCCCTGGATAATGAGTGCTGTTAAGCTTATAGTGGTTGGTAAGTCTTCGACTATAGTTATCATGGCAATTACTGCAGTCAGCGACAATATGGTAAAAACAACAACATTTCTCCCTCTCCATACATATTAAAGTCTTTCTTTAATTTGGCTCGCTGCCTCAATATTCTCTCCCTCAGCCATACATCTTGTTCGTTTCCTCCTTCCCCTTAAAATGTTGTGTCCCACTTGTTTTGATTACGACGAATGGTTATAAGGAGCAAGAATAAATGGAAATGTTTGCTTGTATAAATCAGATACTCGACCGTGACTTTTTTTTCTCCTTTTCATTAGCTAAAAAAAAAAAAAAAAAAATCAACGACTGTCTTGATATTAAATAGTGTACAAAACTCAAGTGATATTTACCTCAGTTTCTTTCTTCTCCTGTAAAGTTAAACCGAAGATCACTCTTAGGACAACTCAAGCCGTCGTGCTGACAGAAGGAAACACCAGAACGTTGCTATGTGTTGCCAGTGGCAACCCTAAACCATCTTACACGTGGTATAAAAACAACGTTAAGGTTCAGGAAGATCCCAACAACTCCAACTACACATTAACATCAGCCAACAGATATCAGACAGGCATGTACCGATGTGAAGCTGTTGTCACTGCCCCTGCACTGGGTCCATATAAGGCTGACTATAACGTCAGTGTCACAGTAAGATGTGAGTACGAGACATTCAATTTTGCTTAATCAGCTTTATTAGCCTCAACATGGAATTAATTTGTTAAAATTTACTGCAGTATTCCAGCTGCATTCTCTAATGATGCGTTTTGGATCCACTCAGCCATGGGAAGCTTTCACGTTACCTATGATGTTCTGACAACCACTGGTCACAGAACTTCTTTAGTCTTGATGGGCAATCTGCCAGTTGGATGTAGCCCCTTCTCCCTACGAAATTAATGGGCGTAAGACCATATTTTGGGTCTTATATCAGTTCTTGCTTTCAAGTTTTGGTTTTATTCCATATCCCAACTGCAAAGTGTTATGGCTTTTGACACATTTGGTCGTCACTTTGGAACAAAGTATCGTTGCGTTGTTTATAAGCTTTATCTTATAGCGGAACAGAAGTAAAAGGAATCTAAAGCCTTTTGGAATAATCAAATAGAAGTCATACTTACATATTTCATTTAAAACGAAGGTTTTTTTAAAATTAAATTTCTTTTTTCAGACAAGCCCCAACATAAGGTTAATAGTTTGGAGCGCAACGAAACCGTTTATTTGGGGCGCGATGCTATGTTTTATTGTCGAACAGAAGCATTTCCTATCGCGATCCAGTACAGCTGGTTTAAGGATGGCTTCCAGATATCCAATTCAAGGGATTACACGATTGATAATTTTGGTTTTGGTGAGAGCAGACTAACAGTGAAGCAAGTTACAAAAAGTAGCGTTGGACGATACTCTTGCTATGGAAATAATGACGTTGGAAATGGGAAGAAGAAATCCGTTTTCTTAACTGTCCACTGTAAGTTTTAACTGATGGATGTCCTTTTCTCTTTGAGCGGTATCCACACACTAAATACATGCTATTAAAATGACGAATAAAGGATACAATAGTTATGTTAAGAAAATGGAGAGGAATAGCCTAGAGCCACCATTTAACAGCAGACGTAACTGACGCACAAACAAGCGAAGTAAACAGATCGATATCATTCAAGAATTTATAGCACATAGCAACACTGATATCTATCAAGTTTTGTTATCATGATGTTATTACGACAAGCTCCCCTGCTGCACGGTCGAAAAGTGAATGAGCAAAGCTTTAATTACCATCCTGTTGAGATCATAACAAGAAAAGTTGTACTTGAATAAACTGATGCTTGTTTACCATACGTTTTCCCTATATGGATCCTAACAGTTCTTTTATATGCGTTGCAGATGCTCCTCTTCAAATAACTTTGACACCAGATCCAGCAGTTGTTAGACTCAATAAAACTATGATCCTGGCTTGCCAAGCAGATGCTCTTCCACTACCTCGATACTCGTGGATGTTCAACGGAAAAACTCTGACTAAAGCTGTTTATAACACCTTAGAGCTAACCAGTGCACAAGTAAACGATGCAGGAAACTACACATGCGTGGCAGAAAACTTTTATGGACGGAAAAACACGACAAGAGTTGTTAAAGTAGAATGTGAGTTGTAACTGCAGTAACGCCTTTGCCTTAGCATGGCACAAAACTTGCTGAGGGTTTGCTCCATGATATACTCGGATATATAATCTGGCCGAGCATAAGGATGGACACTAGCGTTACGAAAGCCTTACAAACTGACCTGAGACTGCAAATGCGCTTTTTTTTATCACCATAAAACCCAATTCAAAGTAATAACAACTTTGCACATGATTTGAGCTTTACATGTGATTGGTGTTCATAATGGCGCGAGTTTTCAAAACCAGTCACAGAACCGATTGAAACAAAACCCATGATTTCTTTTACTAGTTTCTTAAAAACTGCTATTACAATTGTCTGCTAGTTAGTCCTTCAAATCGATTTTATGGTGAAGCTCTAAAAAGACCTCGGTGGGTCATTTTTTTTTCATGGAAATGACAGCTTTGTACAGCCCTTCTCCTTTTACTAAGTGACACTTTAACTCACAAGATATATGAGTACTTCGTATAATTCTTTTTAACTTTGTTAATCAGATGCACCTGCCGTTCAAACATTTACTATCGGAACTCCTAAAAACACTGTAATTCAAGGAACAACAGTAGAGGTCACGTGCAGCGCAGATGGTTACCCTGCGCCAACGTTCACTATTAAAAGAGGAAATAAAACCGTTAACAGTACAGGAGGGAGATTTGTAATACGTAACATACAGCTCAAGGAAGAGGATGCCATGTACACCTGTGAGCCAAATAATACGATAGGAACAGGTGCTAAGAGAGAATTGAAGATTACAGTGCAAGGTTAGTACCATTGCCTTTTTTTCGGTAAAGCAATATTGGTTAACGTTGTAGAGCAGATGAGGTTCATTTTGATGTTTTGACACGCACTTTTGATTAAACTAGTGACTGCATAGATGTATTTCTTTAGTCCTTTCTTTTGAGTTAGTAAGTTCAAAGAGCTAATTTTCTTTTTCTTAGTGCCCATTAGGCCTACCTTATAGGAAGGCTGTAGGCATTATGTTACGATGTCTTGTAAGTCCATCATTTTCTCACCTAACCCCTCACGGTTTTCAAAATGGCGGAGTATCGTAAGACACTCGCAACTTCTCTTGCGACTCCTCTCGACTTGCGTAATTCAGCTCCGACTCTGGCCATGGTTGAACGAATCTGATAGGGTTTCTTCGGGTTCAGTTTTGGTTTCGTCGGGTTTAGCTCGATGTTTGTGCAGGGTCTAACCGTTGAATTTCGATTTGAACGTAAAAGCTTTCGAACGTTCTCACATATGCGTTTTACTCATAAGATATCCCGCATATCCTTTGAAGAAGAATGTAAATTGAAATAAAAAAAAAAAGGAAAGAGGGAAGAAAAAAAAAATGAAAAAGAAAGAAAAAAAGACAAAGAGAAAAACTGATGTAACCTTATACCATCAGACTCGAAAGGAGTTGGTATATCCATTACACAATAGGAAGTGCAAGTTTTGAATAAAAATACGTTCTATACACATTTAATACATTTACCTATTCTTTTAATTTCCTATCCTCTCCCAGGCACGTCAATTGACTTGTCTAGAAACCCTTTTCCAACCAATTCCTCCTTTTGTCACAATTTTGGCACCGAGAAGAGCTGTTCATTAACCCCGCCCTCTGCACTTTCATTCCACAATGATTTATACCACATTACTCTACAACTCTACAACAATAGGCACATGCAGTCATATACTGCATTTTATTTATTCTTTGTTTCCTCTTTAAACTCTGCAGAGTGGCAAATAATGAAATATCAAATGACCAAAAACTACTACACCAAATGACTTTGATTAATCTCTCCACAGTTTCTCCGACATTTTCTAGAAAATTTCCAGATTCCAAAAAGAACACGAGGGAAGGTGACAGAGTGTCTTACTTATGTGTAGCTGAAGGCAAACCAGCACCAAACATTACATGGACTTTTAAAGGAAAGAATCTTACCGACGAACCACCTTTCGTTATCCAAACCACAGTTCTGGTATCGTCTGATAAACTTAAGACGACTCAGTCAAGCCTTGCTATCGAAGAAGTAACTTGGAGAGAAGGTGGTACTTTCTCCTGCCTCGCATTTAATGATGCTGGTCAAAAGATACAATCCACAGAACTGGAAGTCGAGTGTAAGTTCGAATCACTCAGTGGGAAGCAATAGGGACCATTTCCGACCCAATGCTACTGAGTTGTTTAGACTGTAGGACAGGCAAAATTCCTGTGCCTTTTCAGGCGAACAGAGACAAACGTGAGGAGAGCGATAAGAGTGAATCATACTATGGGAGAGCGTTGCACTTTTTGAGCATTTCTCGCCTGTTTTTCAGCTTACGTTAGGGGTTGGGGTAGTAAAGGGAAGTTTAGCTTGTGCCATGCCCTTGGATATAAAGATGATCAAAAGGGGGAGGGGGACGGAAGAAAACGGCATACAGGGCGGGGTAGATGGGATGCCTATCCATTTATGGAAACCTTTTAGCAATTCTGACTGTACCCATCTACACACCCGTGTCGGGAGAGGAAATATGAAAATTGTCACAACAAACAGGATCCCGTCAGGGCTTGAGGTGGATCTCTCGATCCGTTGTTCAGCGTAATAATCACTATGCCACTATTAAGTACGCTGTTTAAGCCATGTTCACACAAATAACATTGTTGTTGCAGTTTTTGCTTTTGACCGGGTGACGAGGCGATAGTTTCAGTCGCTTATTACCTGTTGATTTTTTCTTCAGATCGACCAGTTGTTCAGTCTTTGGCGGATCACCCCAAAAATCTCACTGTGGACGAGGGAAAAAATGCAACTTTTTTTTGTAGAACAAAGGGTTATCCACCTACAATTTCTCACAAGTGGCAGTTTAACGGTGCCACAATTTCCGGAGCTAACTGCTTTGCGTGTCCATCAATGACTTTCACAAAATATGAAGTCAATAAAACTGACTCAGGATGGTATTCCTGTTCTGGAAGTAACAATTTGGGTGAAGGTCCTTATGCAAGAGCTTATCTAACAGTAAAGTGTAAGTGAGAATGAGTTGCACATATTCGTGCCTGTACTGTTCAATAGAACGAAGAAATAACTTACATAACTTTGAACCGACATCTTTTGTAAACCTGTTTATCGGAGCCATGTAGTATACCGAGAACTTGTTTTTTTTTTTTTTTTAACAAAAATGAACTTAACAAGAAAGAAGAAGAAAAAAACAGTTTACATCAAGCCATTTTGGTTGCCTGCCATAGGAACATTAACGTTCAATTTTCTATCACCTATCAAAGTCTCTTTGACATCTATAGGCAGATAAACTTATTTTCTGCGTTTGGACATCTTTCTCTTTAGTTCTTATTTCGTATACATGAACTGTCGTTTATGTATAGGAAAAAAGATAGAATCAAAATGAACTTTAGCCATCTGTATTTCATTCTTCATCGTTGCCCCTTTAGATCAGTTATAGGCAGCTAGTCATGGTTCGTGTGTAGACATAAAGCTCAGTTTGCAATCTGTTTCATGCCAGTCTATCAGTTACCTTTTATAATAATTTTTGTCTGTTTTTTTTCCCATTTTGGTGTTCATTTCTTATAGAAATAATACGTATTGGTTCCCACCACATTGTACATTAGATCTGCATGTTCATGGTAGAATAACTGAAAGGATAACACTATTTCCACCTTTAAATTGTGCCCTACATCCTTTCATAGATCGTCCAACAATTATCTCCTTACGAGAAGTGTATACAGTAAACGAGACCGGAAATGTTTCGATGTTGTGTCGAGCAGATGGCTTGCCAAAACCTACAATAATCTGGAGAAAGAAAGGCAGCGGTGAGGTTCTTGCAAATGGTGAACAGTTTCATCTCCTTAATGCCCAAAGCACTGATGATGGTTCGTATTCTTGTACTACAAGCAATTACCTAGGAGAGGACACAAAAGAGGTCATGTTGAATGTTCAAAGTAAGTTATTTGTGTGGTTCGTTGAACCTTGTACTGTAATAATAGAAAGAAGAGAAAACACAAAGTATTCAGGCTTCGAAAGGGTTTAACTTGTGCCGTACAGATACCAGTAAGGCGCTTTCACTAACTGAGCTACTCAGCTACACGTTGGGAGCGAGTCAAGGTTAAAAGTTTTTTTAAAATCTAAAGGAAATTATGAAAGTATTTCTCATAAAATATCAAATAATACCACTAAATATTTAGATACTGATAGAAGATTTCCATACCAAGGCATCAGATTTTCAAAATGTTACCCGCATCCCTGAACCTACATCTTCAAACAATCTCCACTCGCAGTAGACGATAGCAGTCCTAATTCATTTACATTGGGAATCACTGTTGTGTCAGATGTACGTATTTCATAGTCGTGTGTATAGTTAAACAAACTGTGATGTCTATGTTTAATTAGGAAGCGAAATAAAAAGTTTATTCCAAACTTCTGAGTTAGGGCTCATTGATATGGCCTGTTAAACACAAAATTCACTTTTGTTATGTCTTAAAGTTATTGTAAAAATGATTAAACACATTCCAGAGGAAAATGGGAAAATTTACGATGCGTGGATTTGTACAGCTGTGTATTCACGTACAGGTCCTGTCCAGCCAATGTAAGAGGAACTTAAGAGGAAACTTAAAATTTAAGAACCTCCTCTACACGTGGTTAAAATTACATATCAGCAAAACAAAGTGCGATGTTGATTTTGTTACAGCGCACCCAAAGATCAAGATCTCCAGCTCTGCAGACACAGTGATACCTGGAAATAAAGGAGACGTGGTGACATTAATTTGTACCTTCAGCGGCAAACCGCTTCCTCGTCCATCATGGAGAAGGCAACTTAATGGGACTGATCTGGGTGTATTTAATGGTTCTTACGTGAAAAACATCTCTCAGAAGAACAACTCCTCTTTCCTGAACGTGATTGTCAACAACACTGGTGAACATTTTTATTGTGTGGTTTCAAACCTTCTCGGAAGTGACAACTTGACATATACCATACGAAGAAGAGGTACGTGAAAACGAAATCTCTGCATGCTAAGATTAGTTATAACGTTTTAACTCTCACTCTTTAATTTCCTTTATTCCTAAAAGGCCAACATAATTTGACTCATCAAATTTGTCTAAGATCTTGCACTGCTTTATATTGCTTTAACTGGGAATCATTAAAGAAAACAACGTATTGTTTTGTTGACAGGTGTTCCTGATCCTCCAAGTGATGTGAAACTTTCAGCTTTTAAGGTAGCTGATGCTAAAACTGTGAGTGTGAATGTCACCTGGACACCTGGATATAGTGGAGGATATGAACAAAAATTTTCAATATATTTTCGCGTGAAAGGAAGCGACAGTGACTTTGTTGAGAAATATGTCGGACCCTCAGAGGACAACTTGTACACCATACAAGGACTTAAACCTAAGACCGAGTATGAATTTACTGTGCAGGCTTCCAATATAGCTGGCCTCGGTCAGAAGTCAACTTTAGTCAACGTTGTGACGCCAGGTAACCTTGTTTAGACAATTTTGCGTTTTGGATATCTACCTTTGATTTAGTTTTGATACAGTTTTTTGCACTTTTTCTTAGAATCCTCAATACCAGCCAACAGAGGAAAAGGTATGTTGATCTCTCCCAGCCTGTAGTCTGTGTTCTAAACAATTAAATGTTTGTCGGAGTAGACCGATATCTTTGATTCAGTGAGAGACTACTTCTGAAAAAAATCGCAAGTATTGTTTTCCAAAGATGACCCCCTACAACATTTGCTCGGATTTCTCGGAAATGATCCAAAATGCAAGGGGATTTGCTACACATTTGATTCTCGTCACAGATATGATTAAATGTACAGTTCGTATTTGATATCACTTTAAATTTGTTGAACATTTAAAGAGATGGCAAACAACCAAAGCTTTTGACTACGTAATTTATGCTGGTCGAAGGTAACATCAAAGAAGGCAAATATAGTATTATATTTGACTTGTTTAAATATAAAGTCAAATGTCAAAGAGCTTTGCGATCCCTGTCATGTTTGTAGGGCGATAGCTGTGACGTAAATTTTGACGTAGCCCAAAGGTTTGTTCGAATTCTGAGCCAACCTTTCGGTATGTAAATATCTGATCTCAGTCTTCCTGAGGTTTTTAGTGACCTCCTAAAAATCTCGACAACGATCTAAAATATGCGGTAACTGTTACAGTCAACGCAACAAGAAACCCAGATGACGCCTCGCTGATATTGGTTGAGTGGACAATAGAAGACAAAGTTGTCAGAAGATTAAACCTTGAAATCCAGGAGGGTGGGGATGGTGACTGGAAGCCTGTTTCTGGAGCAAGTAACATGAGTACCTCCATAAAAAGATTCACAGTAGGAGATCTCAGGGTTGAGGAGGTATACAGATTCAGAATGGACATGAGAAGGCCAAGGGAGCAGAGACCTGTGTATGTTTTTAGTGACGTTGGTACGTACGTATCATAGTAAAGAAATACGAAAGTCTACAAACATCTTTCAAAAATTATAGCATTGAAAGCTGTGTGAAGAAAAACGCCTGTAAAACTTAAAACAGGTCAAAATAAACCGAAACGAAAATCGCTACCTCCTTGAAAAAGGATATGAGTTTCGGTCGATTTCACCATTAAACTTCCCGCGTCACAAGTTTATAATTTTTGGCATTGTTAATCTTGGAAAAAGCAAAAAGGTAGATATCGTTTTTAGATAACTATGCCAGCAAAGTAAAGATCAAATGGTAGCTCATGGTGATAAAGGTACCAATCATACTAGTCAATATTCATCCCAGAGTATAAAATTACACTTCTTAAATTTAGAATATATTCCCATGATCCTGTCAACGATTTTAATTTCAATTTTTCATTGAAATATTTTAATTATGGGACATCAATGACCGTGCAACAGCATGTTTTCCGGGTGTAAAGAACAGAACAAAAGAAAATCTCTACTTCCTAAATGGGGAGAAACCTTGTTTTTCTTAACATTGTGCTAAATTTATGTGAACAAACCACTCTTTTTCTCTCTCAGTGCCAGCCGGTCATACCAGCCCCATACCTGAGAAGAGAGAAGAAAAGGTGTTTCTCTTCCCAACGTGGATGATTTCTGTTATTGCTGGTAGTTCAGGAGCATTACTTCTTCTCGTTCTTGTTCTCTGCCTTTGTCGCTGTAGGCGTCGTCGTAAAACAGTTGATGAAGGCAAGTAACTGCCAACAGTTTCTCTTTTTCGACCAGTCAGTTTGCCTGCATTTTACTTTTGAGATTTGAAGGATTTATATTTCTATATGTTGCTTTAAATTAAGGGTCATCAGCATCTGGCTTTAAATTGAACCAGGCGTTCAAAGTAAAGACGATAGAAATTTGAAATACTAAAACTTCTTTTTAAACTTTCTTATTAATGTTAGAAAAATGTCAAGGAATTAGAGTTTGGGTATTACAATTTATTATCTAATTTGTTTCTTTTAGTATATTTTGTGGTGTGAGTTTTTAGTATTTGAGGGTTTTACGTAATCTCCTCAATTTTGAAAAGTTTACTTGAAAGGAAAAATGAGAGTTCAAGCATTCGCTCTAATGCTGATGTTCCGTTTCAGCAAAGTTTTTAAACTTCATGCCTTTGAATTTGACGCTTATCAAATTTGCACCGTTCCTCATTATGAATTTTGTCTTCTTTCCTGTTTTAGTTGGAAAAGGAAAAAAGAATCCCACTTCAAGGTATAAAAACTTATCACGTTCTAGTGCACTTCTAATCAAGAAAATATAATAAAATAGCATGATGTTTGTCAGAGAAACAGTTTTTTGATCTTTGAATATGCAATCTCAGTAACATAGTCTGTGTTTCGTCTCTTCATGAATGTTTTGAATACTGTAATGATAGTTGTATCTTAAGAGGTTTCTGAAAATCAGTCTTCCAAGGTGGATAAAAGCGTACTTATCCTGTATAAAATGGTTCAACTGTTTAATATCCTTTTCAGAAGTTTTGGATTAAGGTCGCCTTGGTAACTCTATTTGGGGGAAAAGAAGTAAAAGTAGCAACCTTTTCGGTTTTACAACGATATCATGAATTATCAAAATCTGCCGAAGCCGAAGGGTGAGGCAGATAACACAGACACGAGACTGATAATTCATGACATCATGCAAAAAAAAATTAAATAATTGTTTTATCATACATTTTTAAAACAATCTGCAAGTAAAGACACTTCTCTCTGAGTCTGCATATGTTTAAGATCACTACACGGACGAGGGGCTTGGAAACTAGGCTGACATTGCACACGACATGATAACCGCAATAACCGCAGATATTGGGTTCTCATCTCGACTTCTCATGCTTTTGAATATTTATTGAATGTTCATGACCAATCAGTTTTTTCATGGTAAGCCTAATGTATAACAACATCAATAAAGGGTTTCCGTGTCTGTTTTTTACCCAGCTATGTTGTAGGCGGTCCAGATGTGGTTTCAACAACGGAAGGGAGAGGTTCGTGTGGAGCCCAGGAATCTATTGAGGACGATCCGTTCGTTGTCGCTGCATCCATGCAGGCCTTGGATTCAACGAATGGAAGAAAGAAAAAACTTGATGCCACTATCAATTACGGATACGAGTCTGAAGGTACAAAAAACAACGCTTGCCACTGTTTTAGCGTATTCACATGTCGAATCAAATTTATAGAGTCACTATTGTTCGTTTTCTGACCTTCGTAAACAAAGAAAAAATTAGTGTTCACTAATGTTCATCTTTTCCCGCTCTCGATTCAAAAACAAGCAGAGATACTTCTCAAGCCGGGGTCGCGTCAGGAGAAAAATGGCCACGTCGTGCAAAGCAAAGAAGAACCTGAGTCAAACTCAGCGTACCCGGCCAAAGGACCACAAAGAGATTTCAACACATTTGCAACAAGCGTTGAACTTGTTCGAACTCCAAGGTAAATAAACGCATTCTTTGACGTATTTTTTAAATTATGTTTTCGATTACCTTTTTGATAAATTCAGAAAAAAAGGTCTTATGTGGTCAGTACTTATTTTTATATCAATCCTGAGGAGAATCCAGAAATAGCCAAATAATCTTGAATATTTTCTTATGTCTTCTCAACCTACACTTATTTAATCGATAAAGTCTTGACGGCACTCGAGGTACAAGTGACATGGTGAACGTATCACTCGAGTACTCAACAACAATAATAATAACAATATTTATGGTAATGATAATAGCCGGATCGCCTGTAAACAAACTTTTGATAGAGGAGCCAGTATCTTAGCTTAGAAATTTCCTATTCAAACTCTTATGAATTTTAAGGATTGGCAAAAACAATTAAACATAGCTTCCTATTTAGAACATGAATCCGGCCGAGGATTTGCCAAAGCTATCCTCCATAGTTCGTTTCTATTAATGAACTAAAATACCAGAGTTTCATACACTGAGGTCTTCCCTTAACGGAAGTTATACATATATGGACATGTGTTATGAAAAAGAAATTAAACATAAACTGGTGTCAGCAAGTCATCATGCTCAGAGGAGGCTTACAGCATTGGGAAAAGCATCAGTGCTGTTAATTACGGGGATAAAGATTGCGCCGACGATAATCTTTCGAAGGGCTCTTACTACTAATTTACTAATTATAAACTAGTTATTTTTTAGCTTATTTTATTTCCCTCTTTATTTAATGAATCTTTATTGTTTAGCTACTTAAACAATTATAAATGTTTGTTTGATTTTTATAACCAGTTTTTTTCTTTTCTATCACGCAGTAGAAACACAACGGCCGTCGAGAATCCTGTCTACGTAGCAGTGGACGAAAAAGAGTCTTCCTCTCAACCGAAGGCGTCAACCTTACCTTTGCCTTCCAAAAACCAAAACGGTTCCATTAAAGGACCTCTTGATCCAACGGTACATTATGCTACGTCACAAAAGAAAAAGATAACCAAACAGCCTCGTCAAGGGCCACTTGAGTCAGCAAATGCTGGTATGGATGCAACGGCACGCACACATATTTAGTAAATATTTTCATTTCAACTCATTGAGATGTGTTCTTTTTTATCCCAAGAATCTCCACTGCACAACACTTCAGAGGATAAACCTCAACAGGAGCCTTCGCTTGAAGATCTAGATCTGGATGACCCTTCCAGCCTTCCAGCTAGCGAAAGACCACCAGAAAAACCTACCCCCATAGCCATGTTGCCTAGCAGGAATACAGCCAACACCTTCCCAAGAAATCTAAGTAAGATTAGGGTTTTGTTTCACGCACAGCATAGTACACTTAGTGTTCTTATAAGGTAGTGCCTGAGCAACGGCAACAACAGCGCATTCACTTGTTTAAGTCACTGGAAAATTAAGAGCGTTTGATTCCCGTCTAACAATTGGAATGGAAAGGCTTTAGCTTCGCAAGCTACTAAAGTCAGTCTGAGTGATTTTTGGATTCGTTGTTATCATATTTTCATCAATACCATGTAAAAGTTAGGACAAAACCAAGTTGGTGGCAGCTGCATGACTCAACTCAACTCGTAAAATCTCATCCCGATAAAACAACAATTGCAAACCTCAACGTAACGGACTTCATCAAACCGCTTCCTTTTTAAAGAAGGCTTTGAGAAAAGAATGAGCACGCCTAATGGAAGTCAGTATTTGTGTTGAAAGGTTTTTAAATTAGCTTGATTCGGCAATGGCACTAATAGGTTGGAGAGCGACTTAAAAATTACGCAGATGATACACGAGTGATGATACACGAGTGCTTTTCCGCCACTTGCATAGGTGTTCATGAGAATCTAAAACACGGCCTGCACAAAGGGACCAGCAGCTGGGTGGGGGATTTTGGAGTGGGTTCACATGTTTTTCAGGGGGAACGGTTGCGGGATCAGTAGTCGCCGGGGGGGGGGGGTTTATATAATTAACTGCCACGTGATAACTAACGACCGTTTCCTAATGCTATTATAATGGTATTTCACACAGATAAAGGTTCACCCGGACCACCAGGATTTTTTTATATACCTGTGAATAGAAAGGCGCGAGCTCAAACTTACGGAGCAGATATGCCACATCAACCACCTCCGCCAGGACTCCCAAGAAAGGTAGATGGACATAAAACAAATCACGTTTGTACCTAGTTTTCAACTCAGACGTGCGCGTTTTCAAATACTTAGGTTGGTTTTACTTTAGGAAAAGATTTGCATGTTTTAGAGCTTTAGATTTTTTTTGATAGTAAGTTTATTTGTGTTTGTGATTCATATTGTTCGTTCATTGGGATGTCCCCTTTTTCAAGAAAGACAGAAACATTAGCAATGATAAAAAAAAATCCATAACCATAACAAGGAAAACATGCCTTGAGCTTATGCAATTAGTCCCAAGAAAGCTATGTACAAAATATAATCAGGAGCAGATCTAGAAGTCGCTATTTAAACTTACGTCTTCTTTTGCTGTCTGTCGAGTGGGGTCCTGCGATTGGCTACAAGTCGCTCAAGTGTTGTAGCTATGTGGCAACGTCGGGTTCCATCAAAAGTACAATAGGTTACCCTGTAAATCTTTCTCTGTAACTAACTTAAAAGAGCTACCCTTTTTTTTTCCAGCGCTATGCAACCGTTGATGGTCAATTAAAGAGGCTAAACTCACAGGGTTCGGAAGATTCTCGAAGTTCCGAGTCGACACAAAAGACACACGCCTCAAAACCGGAAGAACCGACGGATTGTGAATGCGACATAAGTGGAGTATCGAATATGAGTTATGTTAGTTACCTGGTGTGAAGAACATAGAATTGTTAAGATGCCACGTCAGTTCTAATTCGTAATGTGTAAAGATTTGAATCGAGAGCACAATATGAAACTAAAGGACCTTGCACAATAAAGATCCGTACGCATGCGCTTTTGTTTTTGAAAACTCGTCAACACCACCGAATCTTTTGGCTCCCTAACGAAAACAGAGACTTTCTAGACGTATTTTTTTTTTTAAACAATTTAAACTGTATATTGTAGCTGAGTCATTAGTAAGAAATAAGAAAATTGAATAATCGAAAATGAAACTCTAATGAGCTTTCTTTCATTTGTAAGCATATGCTTACATACCAAATTAAAAGAAGTAATGGTAGCCCTGGTAAACCGTTTAAGCTTCTTTAAGAAAATGCAGACTATTCCAGCCGTATTCAGTTGAAAAAAAAAACCAGCTATCCACCTTTCAGGAAGAGTTTTAGGTTTTACAAGAGAAAACAAATGTATTGCTTAGGTTGACAAATTGAACTGTTACCCTTAGTTCTAAATGCACCAGGAAAATCCATATAGCTATTATTAGTATTTCTAAACATCAACTGAAAAATATAAGATTTTTCAAATGAAAGTATATGTTATGTCTATAATAAATGTTAAGCTATAACTAACTTAGTTTACAGAAAAAAATCTTTTTTTTTTGCATACTTTTAATGTTTTAGCTGAACTCATTCCAAATGAAATTAAATAAATAGTGAGAACTTTACAGCTAAGGAATATTTTTTGTTGAGACATGGCTGGGAAGAGGAGGTGGGAAGGGGGATGGATTGGTTATATTTGTAGAAATAAAGTTCCCGGATTGGTCAATCTCCTTCAGCTGACTGTCAGAACGCCTCCCATTAGAAGTAAACAAAGAAGAAAAGTGACGCGTCTTCGGACCTGCCAAAAACTCGAATAATGACGGACAAAGCCAATTGCAAAAGGGCAGTTCATAAAGATATGCTCCTCTGGTCATCGCCAAAAAAATATATATTTAAGTCGAGTTTCTCATATTCTTACATGGGTAGTCCATAATTACTGCGAGATGAAAAAATGCGGGCTGAGACTCTGTTACGTCACAATAAAGTGCGTAGGCTGCTGAGCAATATTCAAAATGGCGGTGTTCATCATCAAATTCTTTCGCACATATGAAGACATTTTTCCAAATCCAGATTAATCTTTGGAATATCAAACCTCGGACAGCGTCATAGTGACATACATAGTGATTCTTTTATACTTTTTATTTTGCGATGATGGAAAGTATAGGGTCCTTGGATTATGCTTTTCCTATAACTTGCAAGCCGCCACTTCATGTATCAGATGCATTTTCCTGGCTCACGTCCATAGATATATAATGACAACAACTTAGGTAATACATTCATAATCAACAAAGAGACTATTTAGGGAAAGATGTTTTTTCGTCTTCGAATCCCCATGAGGAATCGAACCTCAGACCTAAGACTATTTGGCTCCCATTTTAACCATCACAATAACTTTTTACAACACAAGACAAGATTCGGCGACCTTGTACTTATTATTAGTAACTTTGGTTGTAAGGAAAAGTCGTACCTATTGTAGCATGTAATTTTTACTTTTGCATTTTGTAAGTGGTTGGTGTGTTACCTAACTGGCTTTTACGGACCAATTGAGATTGATTGATTGATGATTGATTGACTGACGTTGCATTTGAGTGTCGAAAGTAATTCGAAATTGCCTTGGTTCTGATTTTTCGACTCTTATTTGAAATGCACTCCAGTAACTTAGCATTTAACCATTTTCTATAAAATAGACTTCATCTAAATGATAACTATATAAACGTTCTAAACGTTACATCGCAAATTGTACTTCTTGATCCGCGTCAAAGGTCACCTAAATGGGCAATAACCGTTTTTAAAAAACGCATGCAATCAGTTAAACAAGGCGTGTATGAAGTGCTTCTTCACTAAAGGTCACGTTTTTTTCGCGATTAATTCTTGATCCTTGTCTTTTGCTTTCAAGTGATGCCAACTTGCTGTTGTTGACACTTGATCTTGACTGTAATCGACCAGAGAGTTTAGGAGAGTATTTGAATTTTTTTGAGCAGAAAGGCTGACGTTTTCCTGTTTTGCAACAGATTTCGCAAGGAAGACAAGAAGTCGCGTTTGAAAAACGCCGGTGTAAAGTAGAGGCTTGGCGAAAGATGTGATGTATCGAATGATCACAACTGCTTCCATGACATTGAGCAAAACTTGGATTCTCATACCTAGTAATAGCTTGATGGTAAAGTAAGGCAACCAAGAGCATGTAAATATGATCGCCATCGCTGCGAAAACCAAGATACACTTCCGGTCACTTTGGCTTTTTTTCTTGTTCTGTGGTATGTTTTTTTCTCTGAACCAACGACGATCGCTGCCTATTAGATATCGTTCTGAACATTGCTAAGAATGCGTGGATAATATATATGTATGGCAGGAGGAACACTGTAACAAGGCAAACTGAATTATAAATGGAACGCCAACGTCGACGCTGAGATACTTCAGCACCTTGCCAAACAAGAGGAATGACAGCAAAAACCGTTGACGTAATCCAAATGCCAAACAAAATTTTTAAAACCAATCCCTTAGTTACCACGTGGTGTTTTAGTGGACGGACAGTTGCCAAGTACTTGAGGGCAGTAATAACAAGTATGTGATAAGCACCAGAA